GATTCTGCCTGAGCCATTCCATCTTAGTACTCAGAGGTGATATCTACATTTTGATTCTTAGCCTTCTTGTGTTTGTTCGTAGTTGTCTGCGGGTGCCCATGGACTTCAGTGGTGACTTACCATCAGGTGGTTTGTTAGTTCAGTTTTATAAAAAAAAATACTTTGTATTCCTCTGACATTTACAATGCCAACAAAAATATTCATAGGAATCTTTCATATAATTTCCTCCTAAAAGTATACTTTTAAGGGTATATTTAAGACAATAGAAGTATATACTATTTATAAATATTTTTTAATAATAAACAGTCACGGAAAGGTCATACTGTGTTTTCCATGATTACATTTTAGTTTACTAAAATTCATTGCAAAGATATGTTGAAGGATAAGCAGCAAGTGCATGGTCTGCTTAACCCTATATGAAGGCTATAGCGACCCAATAAAATAATAAGATGTGAAGCATTCCATCTTAGTTCTCATAGACATATTCTAATATAACACATTCTATAGCCTTCTTTGTATAAACTGGTGTTTTTTCACTATGTTGGTGTAACGTAAAACATTAACATTGTAATAATTTCATGTAACTGTATTACTATTTAAATCAAACTTGTTTTTACAAATTTTATCGCGTATATAAACTTGTTTTTATTCCCGACGTTTCGAGCACTTTTTAACATGACCATAAGTGCAGTAAAGTGCTCGAAACATCGGGAATATAAAATAAGTTAATATACGCGATAAAATCCGTAAAAGCTAGTTTTATTCAAATGTGTTGTGTTCGCGTAAATATAAAAAAAAAACCGCTTAAAGCGCTAGTTTGCTACAGGTGTCCATTGCCTGCGTTGGCCACTCGCGCTCTGGTGGATCGTTTGTTATTTCGATTAAATAAAAAAAAATACAATAATATTTAGTTTATGATGTAAACATAGTCTATAAATAATCGATTGAGATTTTTTTTAAATCGTTGCGACATAGAACACAAAAACGGACATAATATTACGTAGATACCGTTCTCGTTACAGACCATCAAGTCCACTTCTGAACATAGGCCTCGCCCATATGTTGCCTCATAGGGGGAACATTTTGTTATAGTTGCTACGTTTGGCTGGCGGGATGGCAACCGCTGCTGCCCATGTCCTGGTTTGTTTCCATCTGTCGCTTCCTACTACACCCACGGGATATCAATGATATTCTTATAGCGCCGCTAGACGATTAACAACGTCATAGCAGACAAAAATTATTACCTTCTTTTTTCAGCGGCACCGGACAAAATACTTAAACTAAACCCAAACGCTTTTACCATCACTTGAGATAGCGAAACGAGTGTACTTTTTTCTTTTCCTTTCACTGCGAACTCTGACATCATCTTGTAATATGGTGCTTAGTATTCATTCTGCGTTATAATTTGAAAGATACGTCTTAGAAATCTTCACTAACGGCGACTTATTATTACGGACGTTACTGTTTTTATCCAAATGCAAAACCCATCTCCAGGCAATAAATAAGACAATAAATTATCTCAATATAAAATAGGGTGCCTTTAGGGTAACTGTTAGTTGAAATTGTACCTATAATGTATCTCCATTTAGAAAGGCGGATGAGAAGTATTATGTTTTTCGATATGTATAATTCACAGTCACTTTCAAATTATAGGAATATAGTTTTTTTGGAGGTAAGTAGAAGCCGTAGCATATAGACACTCCTACATCTAGCAACGATTAATAACCAAATGTAAATGCGTTGTAAGACATAAGAGCGCAACTTACAATTTACCATAATATCCTCCAGACTGAGTTTCGGACTCGTCGGCTAGGTTCAACGGGGACTAGGCAGTTACATATGCCTACTGAGACCTTGCAAGCAATCAGGAAGTCACCTAGCATAGAGTACAGCCTACTAAGCAAATAACAGCACGTGACTTAAGAATATTCAACACAGTGCCATCAGGAAGTCACCTACTAAGCAAGCAACCAGCACGTCTTTAAAGATGAGACTCAATTTGCTTACGTGACGTAAGCATATTCAATACTATAAAAATGAAGGTATAATTGTTAAGACAACCCAGTAGTAATTAAGTTAGATTGTAAGTTAAGTCATCTAGTATTCCTGTGTACTTACTTACATTGTCACAATAGTTAAGTTGACTTGTAAGTTACAATATAGAAGTAAATAAAAGAAAAGTCTTCGTGTCCTTCCACTTCAACCCTCCCTAAGCTACCGCAAATGTAAGTACCTAGCCTGCGCAAGATAGAATTATAGTGCCCGAGAAGTACACTCCCTAATACCTCACTCTGATAGAATGGTTATCCGACAAGACTGGAGAGAGATCAGGCGCGGGACCAAAGCGCGGGCCTTACGTGCTTTCTGAGACACAGGATTGAAACACAGCCAACACCCTGACTCCTCACTGCTATTAAGAATTTCTTGACTTGATAAAAACCTAATAACAGATTTTGGCATGACCCGGGATTCAAACCCAGCACTTCACGATCATCAACCGTGTTTTATGACCAACGAGGCAGTCAAATTTTTTTTATAGGATAGCGTGACAAACGAGCACACAGTCCACCTGATGGTAAGTGGTTGCTGTGGCCCATAGACATCTACATCTATCCTCGATTACGAATCAAAATGAGATGCGTTGTCACCCGTGAGGACTAAGATGGAATGCCTCGTTTCCAGTAAAAAGGGTCTCCGGTTCTCTACGCTCACCATACGAAACACAGCAGCATTAAGCTACTATTTTACATTAGTATTCTGTGAAAGCGTGGTCCTTCACCGGTCGAGTCGACCCATTCATGCTACAACCATAATATAGCTGCAGCGTGGCTCTACCATGTAACGCCTGTTCTTCTGCAAAACAGCAGTACGTACACCGCAGGTGACCGGTTTGTATGGTGTAGAAAGGCAGTATAATACAGGTTAAGAGACATTCCACCTTAATCATCAAAGGGGGCACGTTTCCTCTCCTCCCTCCTTCTAGAGGGCCTACACTGATAAACACAAGGTGATAATTGTGTCCCCCCATAATTACGTTGTACTCATAGGCAAAATCTCATACAAGTTAAGTAACAGACAGAAAGGACCTACTCAAAACGTTTTCTAAGTATGTTTCTTATTGCGACTAGTGTTGCCAGGTCTTAAAATCAAAAAGCCGGAGAGACCAGCGAACTTAGCCGGACATTTTTGGTAAAAAGGCCGGACACCCTTAATTTTGTAGTCTTAGTATAACATGACAATTTTTTAAAGTAAAACAATGCTTTTGATTATTTACTATGAAATCTTCTTAAATTCTAATGAAATAATAAAATTGAATACATCAGTTATCTTTATTATTAATCATTCAATATTCATTACAATATTAATTTCAATAATTGCAATATTGTTTTTGTAAGTACATGAAAAATATAAAAACCGGTCAAATTTAAAAAGTCTAACAAAAGCCGGACAGGCTGGACTCCGTCTAATTTGACCGGAGACGCAACCAAAAAGCCTAACTGTGTCCGGCTTTATCCGGACGCCTGGCAACGCTATCTGTGACAAACATTGGAACTACCCGCAATGCATCTAGCATTGGGATTTAGGACCAAGACCGGGTCTAACGGGGAAAAATTTCAAACGCTTCAGTAGAAGCTTGAAAGTGGCAAAGGCGTAATTTAGCGTAAAGCGAACGTTAAAGTCAAAATAATTTTTTTCTTTTCGGATTTTGCTTTTACAAATAATTTCTGGAAAAATCAAGCCACGACATCGCTTCAGGAAGCTCTACTGCGTAAGATCTTGTGACTCACAATAGTAATTCTAACTTAAAATGCTTATATTCATAATTTCGACAAGTCACACAAAATAAGTACTATAGAAGCTATTTTCATCCTGGCATTATTAGCTTTTAAGTAATTATCTTTACCTATTAATATTAAAGTGTCTGTCTTTAATCGAAATAACTGCCTAATACTAAGCAAATTTGCAAATCATTAACACATGAACAACAATTTTCAAAAATTTTGTGTGTGTCTATCCGGACCAATCTTTGAAATGGCTACACGGATTCGAATGAAACATCACGAACAGATAGAAAACAATACCAAAAGTCATCTATGCTATATTTTATCCGAAATAGGTCACTGGTTGAAGCAATTCTGCCGGCATGCCTTTCAACATCTCCGTCGACCGATGACTGATGAGGACTTCACGAAGAACTTACTAACGTCATTGAACGACCGTCAGTACATTACCACAGAGTACATTTACACACACACACACACATATATATATATATATATATATATATATGTGTGTGTATATATATATATATAATAAATACTATTAATTGGATGCGTATTAAATTATTTCGATGGTTTTTAATTGATTTATTTATTAAGTGCAAAATTCTTATTTTTATTTTTAGTACCGAAAGTTTATTTCAAATTATTAGTATTTATCGTTACATCAATTATGTATATATTAATATGTTCATGTCAAAGAAAAAAAATATCATTCTAAAATATCAGTCAAATTATCCGTATCTGTATTAAAAAGATTTTATTGTCACAACCTATGTTATTTAGCAAGTAGAGTAATATTTCAGCAGCGCCTACATATTCTTATGAGCAATTCTTATTTCCGACAATCTTGTAAAGTTTTGGTTTACCTACCACCATCAAAGCTAAAGCAAAAAAAATACTCAAAGCATCAAACATAAAAATCATACTTATCTAGAACCGACCTTTTCTCCAAATTTATAGAGTTACAATGATCGATGATTGAGAGTTAATCAAAAGTTAATTAAAATTAACAAAGAAATTAACAGAGTATTAATATATTCTCATGCAACAATTTAAAATCAAGTCATACGTATTTTAAGAAGATTTCAGTAAGTTAATCTCCACTAACCCACCGTCATTAAACATTCGAACCATTTCATAATTTGAGACGAATTCAAAGATACTTGAAATTACATCAGTCTAATTTAGTACTATGTATTACAAACTTAATCTATTTACTCACCTGGAAAGTGGGAACCAGATCGGGTTGTTACGCAGTGGCTCAAGCGAAGCGGCAGCGGGAGCGGGGCGGAAAATGTTTAACACCCGCTTGACTATGCGTGCGCTCACAGCCAATAACGTTATCATCGCCAGCACAAAAACACCACCTAATATCGCCCAAATTGCCTAAGAACATCAAAACATTTTATTAACAAAATATTTTAACAAGTAATGCTTTTATAATTTATGGTAGATTTATTTATTTGCCTTCAACGTTAGTTTTTTAAATCCGCTGCTGGATAGAACAGGCTCTTTTATTAAGCATCAACGTGCATGAAGAAAAATTCGCCTGAACTTATCTCGCTGAGAGACAGCTTAGTGAGTACAAAACCGATCGGTTGAACTAATAATACTGCTCCCGAAGTTCCTCATTACCAGTGGATTTCTGTTCGCCATTTTATAACAGGTGTAGATACTGTTAACTGTCGGTTGCTAGAGACTTTATTCTAAGTAAAAAGCAAGTTAAGGTCGCTGCAAACGTAACATGTTTTATTCCGGACGGTGCGGGACGTCAAATTTTGAAAATATCTTTTCATAGAAAATGTACGTGAAAATGCATACGTTACGGATGCACGGACAGGACGGGGACGTGACATTAAAGGGACGGGAAAAATTCGTCGACGGCGATGTTTACCCTGTCCTGCACCGCGGGCGTCACTTCTGGTTCGTGGTTCCGCTACGTATGCAAAGTTGTTCCGTTGAATTCTTCAAATGAAAACAAAAATCCATCATTGATGACACTAGCACATTAGTTTCGAGTCATGTTGCGTATGAAACTCCCATCCGTGTTGACATACAACCACGTACTGTCTTCGTCTCGTACACGTCCTATATGCAGCGACCTTAAAAATGACCTTTTTCTTTTAGATCGACTCGATAGCATAGTGTCTTAATATATAACTACATTACTCACAAAATCGACATCAAATTACGTAATACTTAAAGTTGTTCTCTCTCTTTTTACTAAACTACAACAGAAAGGGACAGGTACAGAGATAATTCATTCTTAATTTAAGATAATGTGATGAATGTTAGCTACCTATTACTATCCATCTAATAGCTATAAAAATCCACTGCTAAACATGAACCTCTCTCTTTGCCATAGTTGCCACGCTTGGCAGGCGGGTTGGCAACCACAGTTTTTTATAATTTTGTGTTGTTATCAGGAAGATGCTGCTGCCCATCTCCTGTTTCAGTTGCCTTTTTCGCTTCTTACAACCTAGTGGATATTCTTACACTTACTTGGTGCTTGGTACTTGGTACTTGGTTTAGATTTCTAAAACATCTCCACGAAGTAACACACCTAGTGGAAATTACAATTTTCTTTATTTGATGAAAAAAAGACAAGAAATAGTACGCACCACTTCTTATACCTATTTGTATTATAATAAATATTATCTGTAGAAAATTACATATATTAGATTATAACACTTACGTAACTTGTGTAGGTGATTTTTTTGGCTTCAGTAGGATCTGTAAAGACAAAAATACATATTTTTTATAGAATTTACGATGACAAACGAGCACATGGTCCATCAGATGGTAAATGGTTGCTGTGGCTCATAGACATCTGCATTTATCCTTAATTAAGAATAAAAATGCAGATGCGTTGTCACCCCTGAGGACCAGATGGGATGCCTCGTATCCAGTAAAAGTGTCTCTGATTATCCGCACTAACCAAACGAAACACAGCAGCATTAAGCTGCTATTTTACGCTGGTATTCTGTAAGAGAAGTGGTACTACCACTGCCGAGACGACCTATTCGTGCTACAACAATTATATAGATGCAGCGTGGTTCTACCACGTATAGATAATTTCAGTTAAGTAATGCAACGCTGCCAGCTGGTACCGGCGTACGATAATCCATAAACTCATTACGTTTTCTGGGTATTGTAAGAGGCGCTAAGAAAATACCAAAAAGATCCTGTGCGATTTTTAGCGGTATATTGGGTCCTTACATATGAAATTAGCGTTTTGTCGTACTGACCACTTTGATCTGAAATATCTCCTTTTTGGTTGAGAATTCCAAATTCAAATTTATAAATTCATTTCATTGTTTTCAGTCATTCATTTGTTTTTTCCTCATTATTTTTTTTTGGCGTCGCTTATTACCGCACAATGGAAAACATGAAATATCAGTATATTTACGAGTACGAGTTCTACCGTGCACCAGTGCTGGAGAAACAGCTCGAAGGATTAATGATGTGTCTGACGCTGGTGTCGCAAAAGAAAGCACGGTACGTTTTTGGATTCAACGTTTTCGTTCTGGAAATTTCGACCTTCAGAACCAACCCCGTGGAAGGCTGGAGACCAAAGTTGAAAATGAAGAATTAAAGGCTATTGTGGAAGCGGATCCATCACGAAGCACTTCATAGATAGTTGCAGGCTTCGGAGTAAGTGACAAAACTGTATTAATCCGCTTGAAGCAAACCGGGAAAGTAAAAAACTTGAACGATGGGTACCTCATGAATTAAGTGAATCGAACTTGCAAACACGCGTCGACTGCTGTGTTACTTTGCTCAACCGACACAAAAATGAAGGGATTTTAAATCTAATCATTACTTGTGATAAAAAGTGGATACTGTACGATAGGCGGAAGTGGTCGTTGCAATAGCTGAACCCTAGAGACCCAGCCAATTCCTGCCCTAAACGAAAACTGACTCAGAAAGAGGTACTTGTGAGTGTTTGGTGGACTAGCGCCGGTGTCGTTCACTACAGCTTTCTAAAATCTGGCCAAACGATTACAGCAGATATTTGTTGTCAGCAACTGCAAACCATGAAGGAATAACTAGCTGCTAAACAACCGAGATTTGTCATTCCCTCTAGGCCACTGCTGCTTCACGACAATGCTAGATCACACACTGCATAACAAACAACCACTAAGTTAGATGAGCCACAATTGGAATGTCTGCGACATCCACCGTACTCCCCGGATCTTGCTCCAACAGATTACCATTTTTTCCGGGATTTTGACTACTTCTTACAAGGAAACAAATTCTACTCCGATGCGGCAGTCCAAACCGCCTTCAAAGAGTTTATTGATTCTCGCCCCAATGGTTTTTTTTAGTAAAGGGATCAATGAACTATCTGTGAGATGGCAAAAGTGCATAGATAACAACGGTGCATACTTTGATTAATTAAATATATTTTACAAAAAAAATTACTTTATATTCATAAACACATATATACATAAACACTCACGCCTGTCACCCAGAGGGGTAAGCAGAGACAACAGACTTCCATTTGGCACGATCCTGACACACTTCTCTTGCCTCCTTCACATCCATACAACTACGCATACATGCTCGTCGGTTAAGGGTACTCCTAATTTGGCCCGTTTTCAATAAATCGCCAATTTGGTCGATAAATTTTCGCCTAGGACGTCCCTTTCCGACTCTGCCATTCACTTCTGCACCATAAATTTTCTTTGTCACTCTTTCCTCATTCATTCTTTCCACATGACCAAACCACCACCGAAGCATTCCTTTCTTAATCCTGGTCACAAAATCATCTTGCAAGCCACACTCTTCTCTTATTACACAATTCCTTACCCTGTCATTCAGATTCAGCCCTAACATACTCCTTAAGGACCGCATTTCTACTGCGTTTATTCTACTCTCGTGCTTCTTCTGCCACACCCAACTTTCACTACCATACGTTTAAGTAGGGACCAACACAGCATTGTGAATTGCCATACGTGCCTTTTTCGACACATTTTGACTCTTCACAATAGAGTGCAAGGCCCCATTTACTCTATTTCCCGCATTCACTCGTCGTTCTATATCCTTATCATATCTCCCATCCCTGCTAAATACGCAGCCTAAATATACAAACTCATCTACTTGCTCGATCAACTCACCTTCTATTCTTATTTCACAAATCGTTTTACTTTCTTCTCTTTCAAAAACCATAACCTTCGTCTTACTTGCGTTCACTTTCATACCCCTTTCTTTTAATGATCCGTTCATTAATGTAATCATCATTTGCAACTCGGCCGCCGACGACGCAAGAATAACTTGATCATCGGCGTACAAAAGGCATTTGACGGTTAACTCACCCATTCTTAATCCGCATTCTTCAACTTTCAAATTTTGCAAACAAATGTCCATAAATAGGTTGAACAGCCACGGGGAAGCCACACATCCCTGTCTGACACCTTTATGGATGTCAAACTAGTCCGAGTAGACCCCGTTGATCCTAACACAAGCACTAGAGTCCCTATAAAGAGACTCCAATGCCTGTATCAAGCCAGTACTCAACCCAAATGAGTTCAGTGTTCCCTCTGTCCCCTATTCTAATCCCTATCCTAATTATCCCTATCTTAATTCTAATCCCTACTCTAATCTAATCCCTATCCACTCTGTCATAGGCCTTTTCCAAGTCCATGAACGCACAATAAACCTTCTGGTTTTTGGCCAGAAACTTCTCCGCGATCATGCGCATGGAAAAGACTTGATCTGTACATCCCATTCCCTTTCTAAATCCCGCTTGCACATCCCAAATTTTTCCATCAGTTTCTTTCATGGCCCTTTCAATCAGTACCTTAGCATACAGTTTTCCCACAATGCTAAGAAGGCTGATGCCACGGTAGTTTTTACAGTCCTGCTGCGACCCTCTTCCTTTATATACTGGGACTATTACGGCTTTGCACCAGTCTACCGGTACCCGCTTCAGTTCCCAGCATAAATTAAACAAGGTGTGCAGCAGGCCTGCCACCACTTCCTCTCCAGCCCTTAGCATTTCGAGTGAAGCTCTATCATATCTGGCAGCCTTACCTGCTTTCATGCTTTTCATTGCTTTCATTATTTCATCTATACGTATCTCGCTACCTCTTTCCTCTTCTTTCGGTGTTTCTACTCCACTTAGTACACACGTTGTCTCCTCAGTCATAAACACGCTTTCAAAATATTCCTTCCATCTCTTTAAACTCAAAACTTCATCATTCAGAATATAGCCATTCTCGTCTCTTATAGCATTCATCATAGGCTGTTTTGAATGTCCCCTGGCAGTTCTTACAAGTTTCCAGAACATTTTAATATTTGCCTGGAAGTTATCCGATATTCTTTTATCATTCTTATCCGTTCTTTCTTGCTTTTTTCTTTCAACTACTTCTTTTACTCTCTTATTAATATGTCTAAAGACTGCCTTTTTTCTTTCAATATCACCATCCGCCAGAATTACCAGCCTTTGTTGCTAGTAAATCTAGCCATGCTCTCTTCTTTGCTTCAACTACCATACGTATCACATCATCCCACCATAACGTATTATTTTTCCTTTCATTCTTTCTCTTAATAACACCACATACTTCGGTAGCTGCATCCACTAAACCTTTCTTTACATTTTGCCATATATTCTCCAAGTCTAACTCCTTCATACATAATTCATCCAAACCACTTATATTTTCTTTCAGTCTACATTTGAACTTGTTTTTATCACTTTCATCTTGTAACCTTTCTGTTCTAATACGCTGTAACGCAGTGGTAGACACAGACGATCGATGGCGCCAACGCCTGAATAGACCATTAATTCGGCATACAACTAAATAATGATTCGTTCCTACGTTAGAACCCCGGTAAACCCTCGTATCTACCACTGCGCCCCTCAATCTTTCATCCACAATTATGAAATCTATCATGCTTCTATCGTCACCTCTTTCCTAAGTATACATGTGAATCCTCTTGTGGCGAAAGCAAGTGTTCGTCACAAAAAGATTCTTTTACATACATACGGTGAGGAGACTTTCACCATTCTCATTTATACTTTCATCACCAAACGTTACCAATATCCTTACATAACCAAGCCTCCTCACCCCAACCCTTCCATTAAAATCTCCTAGCAGAATAATATTTTCATTTCCCTTACACTTCATTAACACCATTCTTACCATTTCCCAAAACTGCGCTTGGATATAAGTGGACTTAGACATGTCTCGAGTGTAGACTCCTAACACAAACAACTTCTTCAAGCCCACTTTCATTCGTATCCATAGCAGTCTTGGGCTTACACATTCATACTCTTTCACACATTGGCCCATTCTTTCTGAAAGGATGATACCTACTCCCTGGCATGCCCGCTCGATATCGTCTACACCAGACCAGTATGCGGTATACATGCCATGTGTAGTGACATCCTTCCCCTTCCTTTTCGTCTCATTTACGTATAACACATACATCATATCGCATACTTCATCCATTTTATCATTCATTGCCCCACATACATTCAACGTAGCCAGACGGGCCTCTTACATTCCTACCGTACAAAACGCCAATGTGTGTCTGCGCACAACAATTATGTTTCCGACAAAGAAATGAATATTTGTTTCTTCGTTTTCTATGTGTTCCTATACATTTCTGCCGATTAAGTGTGCAATAACATTGACCTTTTATTGAAGACTTTGTTTGAACTATGTATAATGAAAATCTGAGACATATTTTATAGTTTCTCGACAATATAATTTAAAATTATTTCATACTTCGCTGCCTAAATATTATTGTGTAAAAGAATATTATAAGGGAAGAATTCAAATATTTCTTTATTGTATACTTACCATAAGCGGTAGCGTTTCCAGCCGGTCCAACACATCCACGCTCGTCGATTAAATTGACTCTTGCAAGTAATTTAACGTCAAGCATAATACTTTGCTGGCGTCCAGCACTTCGCCCCCCGCCCCGCTCCCCGCTCCGCTCGACAGTGGGGAGCAATATCCATCGAGGCTCTTCCGGAACTGTCACCGGGGTGTCGATGTCTACTCTCCGTGAAGTAGAGTGGGCAAACCATGGCGACGGATGTGCATCGGAGACCATTTGCTTGCCGAGACTGTGAAAAGCGACTTAGTTCAATTTAATTTAAAATATCACCGAGAAATAACTGTGCAGTTAATCAATTTCTGTATTCTCTTTATTGTTATTACTATTACAAACAGTTTGATAACTTTTTTATAGAATAAAGGTGACAAACGAGCACACAGTCCAACTGATAGAAAGTGGATACTGTGGCCCATAGACATCTACATTAATCAATATTTTATTATTAATATTAATATTTGTTACGTGGTCAGGCTACGCTGCAGCTGTATTATGGTTGTAGCGCGAATGGGTCCGCTCGACCGGCGGAGGAACACGCTCTCACACAATACCAGCGTAAAATAGCAGCTTAATACTGCTGTGTTTCGTATGGTGAGTGTAGAGATCCGGAGACCCGTTTTTAATGGAAACGAGGCATTCCATTTTAGTCCTTAGGGGTATCTGCGTTTTGATTCTTAATCGAGGATCCATCGATAGGCCACAGCATCCACTTACCATCAGGTGGATTGTGTCTTTTGTTACCCTTATTCTATAAGAATAAAAAATATAACAATATTAATATAACAAATTATATTATTATAATGAAAAAGAATCAGTAAAATGAAGTTTCAACGGACCAGCAACCGATGCGAGTTCTCAAGTGGCAGCCTCATGTCGTTAAGTGATAGGTTTCCCACTAGATGATGTGGTTAAACTATACTTTTTCACTCCTACGATTCTCTCTCTGATCAGACCTTTTTTTCGTTATCATGTTTTTAACGAATCCAATTAGGCTATAATAAATAAAACCTATGATAAAATGAATTTTGCGGGTAGTCAAAATTACTGCATCTCTATTGTTTAGCACCGAGCTTGTCAGCTATAACTTTCATTTATCTTCTATTTTTTGCTGATTCTTTCATTTATTCCATAAGAGTTTGTCCTCTGACCTGAACCATTCGTGTAAAATGTTGTTGATTGTGTAAATGAGTTCCGAGAGCTCCGTTTAGTACGCGTTCAATTGTTTAAAAATTGAATAATTATTGTTGACTCACGTATATCATTAACGTCAAAACCATAAACCATTTTTACGTAGTTGATGATAATGATTTTCGCGAAATATTCGAATAAAAAGGCATTAACATCAAAACAGTTTTTCTTTGTTACAGAACTTGAAATTTGGTGTTCACATATTTTTATAAAACACAAAAAAGCTTTGTGAGATTTTTTTAAGCAAAAGTTCGACTTTGGAAACCCTTTATGAAAAAAGATGGGATTTATTCGACGAAAAAGTTTTAAAAAAAATATAATAAACACTTTTTATAATATCAACATGAAAAACCTGCCAAAAGCAGGAAGGCTGGTGTAGACACAATTGAATAGTCATTTAGGTATTTACTTTTTAATGTTTTTGTATGTTTCTATACAAATAAGTAAATGTTATCTCTATACTACAAACCCTTTCTATAACATGAGAAGAAAGTGTTATGGTAAGCTGACGGTAACGACATCTCCATAATAATAAGATAATTCAGACAATCTTTACAATAAGTAGCTTATGCCATAAATTCATCAATCGATCAGAAGCCATAAGATTTTATTAGAAATTATCTTAGTTGGGTATAGAGGATAATGGCTTCTTTAACTCTTCTTCCAGAAAATCCATTCAAAAAATTTGTACAGTAGGAGCACTTAAATATCATTTGAGTTACTACGTCGACGCGGCTAATAAGTACCGAAATATGAAGTTAATAATTCATTTACAAAATATGAAGTTAATAATTCATTTACAAAATATGAAGTTAATAATTCATTTACAAACTGTACCTGACGAAAAAATATTGTTTCTTAAGGCCAGACGGAAGTCTGTACGGAAACGGAGGCGGGGGCAAGTCCCAGGTGACGTTCACGAAGAGTTCCCCGTGGACCGACACAGCGCGGGCGGCGACGCGGGGCGTCGGCAGGCGCGGAGCGTGCGCGCACGAACAAACGCCCGCCACACACTCTGAAAGAGAACTTAATTTAATATCTAAACTACATTAATATTATTTAAATATATTAATATTATCTATGCGACCCTTATTACGGAAATGAGGAAGCGTCAACACTATAGAGCAGCGCGGTGGACCTGATAGTAAGTGACCACTACGGACGATGAACACCAGAAATGCTAGGTAAATCATGGTGCGTTTCCGATCTTTGAGAAAAGAATTGGGATTTGTTGTTGAAGGTTCGGAAATTTGCCACTACATTGTACAGTAAGTATTATAAGAAGATACACAAAAATAGACCCAGCGTTGTGTCACATTTCCAGTGACCCAAAATCCAATACGATGTTCGACTTTTTTATAGGATAGGGCGATAAACGAGCACACAGTCCACCTGATAGTAAGTAGTTGCTGCGGCCCATAGACATCTATATCTATCCTCGATTACGAATCAAAATGCAGATGCGTTGTCACAACTGAAATCTAAATGATAATTATTTAGATTTCTGTGGTTGTCACCCGTGAGGACTAAGATATAACGCCTCGTTTCCAGTAAAAGGGTCTCCGGTTCTCTATACTCACCATACGAAACACAGCAGCATTAAGCTACTATTTTACGCTGGTACTCTGTGAGAGCGTGGTCCTTCCCCGGTCGAGCCGACCCATTCGTGCTACAACTACACTACTAATATAACTGCAACATGGCTCTACCACGTATAAAAATAAACGAATTATTGTAAAAACACACACTCACGTAAACATATTTATCTAAAATCATATTTAATCAACAACATGGCGCTAGGTGCATATGTGTGCGTCCAGCTGTGAACTTCTATTGGTTGATTTGATGAAAGAAGTAAGATGTGTGAATGAGTACGAGTCAAGAAGTTAAGATATTGATTTTTTGACATTTTGCACACAGTGTGCAGTTTGGTACAACTTGAGAGATAGGATAGTTTTTTGTCCATGAGTGACCCACTATTTTTTTGTGAATTTAAGGATTTTTTATAAGACAAAGGGTCATCGAAAAGGGCAGAATAACGTCTGCCTGGCAAGCTAGTATATTTATGTATAACTATGACATTGGGACGGCGAACACCTCAGTACCCCCGTGACCATGAGTGCCCCAAAGTGCTCAAAACGTCATAAGTATACGCGATAAAATTCGTAAAGACTAGTTTTATTTAAATGTGTAGTGTTCGCGTATATATATATATATATATATATATATATATATATATAAGAAATAATTATTCATATCAGGAGTATTTATCTTTACTGTGTAGACAATACTGATTCATCGGAAATTATGTGACGTCCAACAATCTATTCTAGTAGCTACACAATTCGCTGGAATTAATCATCTAAAAATAACGATTTATTTTGAAATAGCACTTAATTAAATAATGTATTTCTTACTTAGAGCAGCTTATATATACATAAATTTCACAAAGACAAACATCCAGACCAGAAACAGTAATTTATAGGCCATACGAATACAAACCTACTTGTTTCGTGCAGGACTTAAACCCGCGGCCTTCAGCGCTGGAACTCATTGCTAAGCCATTGTTTCACAGACCCGTATTATACGAGGGCGTCACTGAAAATTTCGGGAATCAAGGAAGTGACACAACATTACTATTTAAAAATGTATTTATTGCTTTTTGAAGTATTCTCCGCGAAATTTGACACATTTTTCCATACGATGGAACCAATCATTGAAGCAACCATTCCATTCGGAAGTTGGGGTCTCCAAAATTGCCGTTTTGTAGGCGTCCACAGCTTCTTCAGGTGATGAAAATCTCTGTCCACGCAATTTATTCTTTATTTTAGGGAAAGTATAGAAATCATTAGGGCTTAGGTCGGGGCTGTACGGTGGATAGTCTAAGAATTCTATGTTTTCTTACTCTAAAAACTCTTTTGTTCTGTGTGCGGTGTGAGAACTCGCATTGTCGTGATGGAGGATGATTCGGCGGTTGCAGTTCTCTTTACGGAGTTCAGAAACGACCTGTGGCAAACAAATGCTAGCATACCATTTTGATTTAACCGTTCTTATTACCTCAAGTGGAATAGTCGTAACATGGCCGGTTTTGAAAACAAACGTGGCCACTATTTTTTGCAACACTCCGTGAACGAACAATTTTTGTTGGCTTTAACTCATTTTCGAACACCCGAACTCGTGACTGGTTTTTTGTTTCGGGTTCGTACGTGTATATCCAGGATTCGTCACCTGATACGATGTTGTATACAGCATTTGAAGATCCTGCGTGGAATCTTTCGAGAGTTCTGACGAACCAAGTAACGCGAGCCGCTTTTTGCTCTTCACAGAGCGAATGTTCATCGGGAAACAACTTTCTTACACCTAATTGTTCATGAAAGATTATTTGTATTTAACTCCTGCCAATGTCTAAAGTTGCCTGAATTTCGCGGTATGTCACATGTTGATCTTCCTCAATCAGCTTACGCACAGCATCAACGTTTTCTTGGGTGACTGCAGTTTTTGGACGACCTTCACGGGGTTCATCACTGAGCTTGACACGTCCACGTTAAAATTCAGCAAACCAGCGATAAATTGTGATTTTGGATGGGGCTTCATCACCAAATGCAGAAATCATCCGGTCAACACACTGTTTTTGTGTTAAACCACTTCGAAAGTCGTAATAAATCATCGCTCTTGAATTTTCTCGAGTCAATTCCATTTTCTCAACGACTAAACAATTTTGACAAAACCTTGTGACAAGACCGAGAATCTTTTTTTAAATAAATATAAATGGTATTCTATTTTTAAAACCAAGGAGTTTTCAATTAAAAAGATTTTAATATGACAGGCAACAGTGGAAATATTCCATTCCCGATACTTTTAGTGCAGCCTAGTATTCTTGGTGTTAACTTGTTGACTTACAAATTGTATGTTGATTAATTTGTTATTTACATAGCAATTTAATAGTTTCTTACACAGTATAAAATAATAAAGGTAACCAGTTACTAGTATACCTATTGCTTTCTTTCGTAATAACAAAATTTGTTTGGTGGAGAATTTAAAGATTATGAGTGTAGGGTGGCATTTTCTTAGTGGTTTTCTGGTGGTTTTACAAGTTAAATTTAGTGGAGAGCTACGCAAATTTAACTGTTGGCAACACTGGTCAGTACTTGGTCTTGTACTGGCGTTGTATTGTAAGGTGACGTCGCGTCGTATCAAAAAATTCAAAAAAAAAATGATGCGATAACTAAACGGCAATGAAAACTTAAGATTGGTTGAATTGTAGAGCAAAAATTCATGTCTATGGGATATGAAATCCTAGAATTACCAAAACAAAGAAATGCTTTACAAAATATTTCTCAAGAAATGAACATATAATAAAGACTAAGCTAAAGTATAAGGGCAACGTACCACAACTACGGATTGCATTGCATTGTGTGAGTCAGTTCTCGGCGCCAGCACGGACGACTATATTACTGTAAAGTTAAAGTAAAGTAAAGTTACAGCCTATATACGTCCCACTGCTGGGCACAGGCCTCCTCTCATTTCTGAGAGGGTTATAGGGTAAGGAAGTATCCGACGCGCTGCCCCAATGCGCGGTGACGAACTTCACATGTCTTCGAAATATATTTTTTTCTTATTCCTCAGACATGCAGGTTTCCTCACGATGTTTTCGTTCACCGCCGAGCACGTGGTAAATCAGCACTTAAAATTGCAATTAACAATTTCATTGGTGCCGGTGGGGATCGAACCCGGGTTACTCGCGTTCTGTTATATTTACAGCGAGCGTTAACCATCTGAGCTACCACGGCTATATTACTGCCTATATTACTATACTATAATATATTACTAACTCTGTCTAAATTTGCCTTAAGCCTCAATGAAATTTACTGAGATACGACTTTGTTTTTGAAGACGACAATCATGTCCGGTAAACTCTCTATAAATAATTGATTTAAAAATGTTAAATCAATTATTTATAGAGAGCATATTGAATATTATGTGAAAACAAAAATACATAAAAACGTCACTATCGTTTACGGCTTCTATTTAAACGAGGTAACAACACATTTGAACTGAAGAGGTAATATATAACATTTTAAATTGAAGAGTACATATCAAAGGCATCTCATTACGAATGAAATGCGTCCGATTATATCAGTGTCATATTATGAAGCAGAAAAGACCTGTACAACTTAAAATAATATAAATAACACTTTTTTGCACTTTTTTCTTTAATCTATTTAAAATTATATTTCATTGTGATCATGTTCTGGTACGCGTAATAAACGGCAATTAATATTAGAGAATTGACCTCAAAACTTGAAAACGAGATTGTTGACAGTGCGTATTGCCAGTGATGACTTATGGATCTAAGACGTGGACCTTCACTGCTGGCCGTATGAGGAAGCTCAAGCTCGATCAGCGAGCCATGGAGAGGGTTTTGCTCGGGGTTTCTCTGCGAGATAAACTTAAAAATGAGGATATCCGAAGTGGAACCAGAGTTATCGACATAGCCCAACGGATTAGTATGATGAAGTAGTAATGAGCCGGCCATATAGCTCGAAGAACCGATGGGGAAAAAATTATCTCGAGTGGCAGCCTCGTACCGATAGGTGAAGTGTAGGGCGATCCCCCACTAGATGGAGTGACGACCTGATAAGACATGCAGGAAGTCGATGGATGCAGTTGGCTCGGGACCGTGCTTTGTGGCATTCCTTGGGGGAGGCCTACGTTTATATATAGATATAGATGGTCTTTTTTATTAAAGAACTAGCTTGTTGTTGTTGTTGTAGCTAGTCGTTGCTCTGCCCTTTTTGACAACCCTGTCATGTCCGATTAAAAATCCATAAATTCGCAAAAAAATTGTGGGTCACTTGTGGGAAAAAACTATCCTATCTCTCAAGTTGGACCAAACTGCACACGATGTGCAAATTTGATTAAAATCGGTTTAATAGTTTAGGAGTCCATCGCGGACAAACAATGTGACACGTGATTTATATATATTAAGATGAGCAAACGCGGCTCACCTGACAGTAAATGTAGTCTTCGGTTCTCTCCACTCACCATGCGAAAAAGCAGCTTGATGCAGTTTTTTACGCTAGTATTCTGTGAGAGCGTGTTCCATCCCCGGTCGAGACGACCCATTTATCCTACAACCACAATATAGCTACAGCGTAGCTCTACTACGAGTTGAACATTTAGCGAATGCATATTTTTATATTTTTATTATATTTTATATAATGCAGCTATAATGCAACATAATGCGTATAATGAGTGATGAGAACCTAAGATTATTTTTAACTTATGATTACGTATCCTATTTTAGTCTCACATGGATGATTCATCTAAGAAGTGTTATCTTTAATAGGTGATTACGTAGCAACTTTTTAAAAGCGACTAGACGAGCAAAACTGTTACAACAATTATTACTGCAAAGTTTTTGTTACAAGCAGACGTACCATCTAACTGGACGTTCAGATTGGCTGAGGTGTGTCCGTCCCACGGGTGAGCAATCAGCCGAACGACGTATTCACAGCCGGGTCTCACCGCGCAGCTTTCTGCTACGGGACTAGGGTAAGGTGGAACAACCCACCACAGTGAGTTCTAGAACAAAGAAAGAGATAAAATTATAATATATTTAGTGATCTCCATCTCCTTTATCAACCCATAAAAGTCCACTGTTGGACACGGGCGTCTGCTGTTGTAGGGATTTGCCTCAATCAAAGTGGGTATCGTAGAAGCGCCAGAGGGAAACAAATCAGGAGATAGGCAGCAGCGATTTCTTATTAACGACTACAAATAAAAAAATGTGATCGCTCACTCGCTTGCCAAGCGTGGCAACTATGGAAAATATCCCCCCTATAAGGCGATATATGGGGGAGGCCTATGTTCAGCACTGAACTTTAATAGCATGTAACCGTATCGGTACCAGACGTCACGCAGCTATGACGCTATCCCCTAAGGTCGGTCTGTGTATTTTATGCCAGTTAAAAATTTATATTAAGCAGGCTTAATAGTTATTCTTTTATCTTTCCTTCAACTCATGTCGTTAATTTAAAAATAACTAAATACTTAACGTTACGATAACGTAATAAAAGCTTTAACGTAACGATATCCCTTACGTTAAAGCTTTTATTTCACTTACTTGTTTACTCCTTTATGCTCTTGCATACGTATTTCTATATTTTTATAACTGTAATATATTTATTTATTATATTATTATGTATGTATTTATTGAGATAATTATATGTATGTTGTGGGTATTTTCTGACGCGACCAAAGAAAGATCAGGCGCAGGACCGGTTTAACATGATTTTAAGGTACCACCGCGTCTGATTTTGGTTCGATCCGGGTTCAAACCCGGTCGTACAAGACCAACGATTAGTCCGCTCGGTTTAAGAAGACCACACGTTAAAGAATTTTACGGGCTTTTATGTGATTAATTTAAACATCTCTTCAAAATTTCAGTTTTTAAGAGGTTATGTTTAAAAAAGGGGACTTTAAGCTTTCCCAGCAATGTACCTGCAAAATTTGTAACAATATACCAGCTAAATTTTAGTCTATGGAACTGTACATAACTTAAAAATTCGAATATTTTTAATTTATGTACTTCCTTCCTTTTTACGTTAGCAAGGATGTCGTAAGAGGTGATTACGGAATGACACAAAAAGATCTTTACACTTCCGATTGATGGCGGTATAACTATCTCGTTAACTTCGGGCGTAAAATATCTAAACCTGATATAGAAAGCATTGTCAAAGGTGCAGAACGTCTGCGGTATGCTTTTATTTGTATAAATATACAAAAAGTATATTTATACAAGTGAGTGTAGTAAACCGGAGACCCTTTTAACTGGAAACGAGGCATTCTATCTTAGTCCTCAGGGGTAACAACGCATCTGAATTTTTATTTGTAATCGAGGATAGATGTATGTGTCCATGGGCCACAGCATCCACTTACCATCAGGTGGACTGTGTGCTCAATTGTCACCCTTATCCTATTAAAATAAAAAAATTATAAAACTGAAGTAACAGAATAATTTTTATTCAATATAGATAGCAAGTAATTCTTATTAAAAGTAATTTTCTTTACTTTTACCACTGGTTCGAAAAGAAAACCTCTGTCCTGGGATCCAGCAAGAAACTCAGGGGGACAAAAACAAAATCAGCATCATCAGCATCATTACTCATCATTACAGCCCTTCACAAGTCCACTGCTGATCACAGACCTCTTCTAAAGAATGCCTGCCAGAAAGCATGGTCCTGAGCCACCTGCACCCATCACTCAACTCATCGTCGTCGTCTATCTTCTCGCTCCCTCTAGTGGGGAGCTGCTCTACACTTCGCGTACCCATACAAGGCTGTTACTCGACAATCTTTCTTGCCCATCGAATGTTAGTTTCTCGAGCTATATGGCCGGCCCATTGCCACTTCAGTTTATTAATCAGTTGGGCTAATTTATGTTATAATAGCCCTTTTTATACAGTTTTTGTCGAATAAAATAATTAAACTTAAAAAGACTTGTATATTTTTTGGGACTTTGTTGTAATATCGTATACATTGCCCTATGAATGAATTACTGACTCTGTGGAGTAGAGAAACTGGTACTACCAGCTTGTATTTGTTCCTGGTGTTCACAGAGTGTACATCAGTTTTTCTAAAAACTACTTTTGTTTTTGTAAATTCATTTTTAGGGTTCCGTAGTCAACTAGGAACCCTTATAGTTTCGCCATGTCTGTCTGTCCGTCTGTCCGTCCTCGCTTAATCTCTGTGACCGTTAGCACTAGAAAGCTGAAATTTGGTACCAATATGTCTATCAATCACGCCGACAAAGTGGTAAAATAAAAATTGGAAAAAAATGTTTTATTAGGGTAGCCCCCCTATATGTAAAGTGGGAAGTGATTTTTTTTTTAATTTCAACCCTAACGTGTGATATATTGTTGGAAAGGTATTTAAAAATGAATAGGGGTTTACTAAAATCATTTTTGATAATGTCAATAATTTCGGAAATAATCGCTCCAAAAGTAAAAAACAATGTGTCCCCCCCCCTTCTAACTTTTGAACCATAAGTTTAGAAAATGTGAAAAATCTCTGAAAAGTAGAACTTTATAAGGACTTTCTAGGAAAATCATTTCGAACTTGGATGGAAACAACAGTACCCACTACCGGGAGCAGTTGCAGGAGCGCGGAGCGCTGCTGGAGCGCGAACATAATGGATACCACCTTTAAACTCATAAGTGGGAACACTTATTGTGACGGACGGAAAACTACGGGACCCTACACTGAGCGTGGCCCGACACGCTATTGACCGGTTTTTCTTTCATAAATATACTAAAGGTTAACCAAAGTTAATATATTTATTTTCACTGAGACACTCTCCTCCTTCCAATACAAGTGGTAAATAAAAAAAAAATACTTTGAATGAGTATTATTATATTCTAATCTATTCTAATGTGGAATGTAACTGGCTGATGATAAAAAAAAGTGGCGTGCTTTCTGGAAAACCTCACGATTGTAATTACTCGCCGCGTAGTGGTGACGTAAAAGAACCAATACCTCATATTATAACGTGGGTGTCGTAAGAGGCGAGAGGAAAATTATACGGAAGAGCTGCATTATTTTTCTAACAACAACACTAAATAGTAAAAAATAAATTGAGATTGTCAACCTGCCAGCCAACCGTGGCAAATGGCATGGCAATATCCCTAATATATAATATATAATAGCAATCTTTGGAAGTGACCTATGTTCCTTTATGGGACAATGTATACGCTTTGACAATATGTATCAGGAAATTAACAAGGTCTATATAGCAAAAAGATTTTTTTTTGTTAAACATAATATATGTATATATGGCTGATAATACCCCTTGAAACGAGTTGAACGCTACCATGTTGTTTTCAAATGTTTTTATATTTAATTGTACAACATACAAGATAAATCATCTTTAAATAGCCTCGCTGGGATTCTTGCTGGTCTTCCCAGGACAAAGGCTTTTTACGAACCAGGGGTTAAAGCATTTATCCAATATGTATTATTTGCAATGTATCTTGAAAAAAAAATTATTGATTAATTTATTACAATTATATGAGTAGTATAGACAATTATATTTGTAGTAAAGTTATAGCACTATGGGTCGACTCGACCGGACAAGGACCACGCTCTCACAGAACACCAGCGTAAAACAGCAGCTTAATACTGCTGTGTTTCGTATAGTAAGTGTAGAGAACCGGAGGCCCTTTTTACTGGAAACGAGGCATTCCATCTTAGTCCACGCAGGTGACAACGCATCTGCTTTTTGATTCGTAATCGAGGAGGGATGTATATGTCTATGGGGCACAGCAGCCACTTACATGTGTGCTCGTTGGACTGTGTGCTCGTTTGTCACCCTATCCTATAAAAATCCATTAAGACACTGCTGAACAAAGACCTACCCCATATATAACTTTATAGGGTGGTATTTGCCATAGCTGCCACGCTTGGCAGGTTAGCGATGGCGGTCTATTTTATTATTGTTGAGAAGTCTGCTGCACTGCAGCTTATGTCCTATTTCAGTTTCCCTCTTGCGCTAACCGCGTAATGATAGAGGATAGTGGATTCTCTCAAATTGATAATAAACGGCTATTCTATTCTATTCTATTCTATTCTAAGCTACTCCGTATTTTATACTACAAAAGAACCTTAAGCTACTCACCCCTGGAATGTTGTATTCGTAGCACAATGGCGTCATGCAATCTACGGTGTCGGTGACGCTACGCACCTCCAGTGAATAGTCCGATACCGGTGGTCCTAGGATATAATGAACAATTATGTATAATATAAACCCCCTTACCTTCTCGATGCTCAGGTTTTTAATAAAGTTTGCGACGTAATATAGCGTCAAACTAATTCTTCTACCAAACAATCAATACAACATTAAAACTTCGACATGATATCGAGGCTCTTATATATATCGAGGTAGTACCAGTGCGACTGCTGATCATGAGGTCCTGGGTTCGAATCCCGGGTGAGGCCAAAGAAACATCAGTTTATTGAGTTTTTCCGTCAAGAAATTTTCAGTAGCTGCCCTGAGTCCAGAAGTTTACTAACCCCTGTGCCTCCGAAAGCACGTAAAGCCGTCAGTCCTGCGCCTGATCTCTCTCCGGTCGTGTCGCTTTACCGTCCTATCGGACAATGAGAATGAGGAAATAGAGAGTGCACCTGTGCTTACGCATACACTTGGACACTGTAATCCTGTCCTGCGCCGATGGCTAGCCTCCGTTGAGGCAGGCCGCCGTGACGGAAATTCGGTCTGGAGGACATTATTATTATTACTATTAATAAAATAAAAATTAGTCATCTAAGTAAAAAAACTAGAACTAGAAAGTAAACTTCAGTCAAGAGGCTTGACTGAAGTTTACTTTCTAGTCCAGGGAGGAAACTCGCACATGGAGCAATAATAACGCTGTATAGTCGACGGTAAATTCCCACGTCATCAGCAGTCGAGTCCCAAAAAGACAAAAATAGCATAAAATATTACGTCAAAGATTGGTTTTCTACCCTGCGTCATGAGGCAGCGAGTCTTCGTCCCTTCGTCTACAATTTTACAGAAGCGACTAAGCTAAGGCTCTGGGGTCTATTTCCGAGGAGTACCGGGGGCATTGACGATAACCTGATATCTTATTAACCAAACTGGCAATTCGAGTGGGCTACCTAATTAATTGTGTCAGACCATATGCTAAGGCAAAGTCGTTAACAGATTCCCCTGTGTGACGCCGTGGTTGGCGTTGAAATTACCAGTGATCACGATTTCTGTGGATAGAATGTATTGTGCATGGACTGCACTAACCACTGGACTTCAGGTGGACTGTAAGTTCTTTTGTATCATGAGTTTTATTTTTTTTAAAGTTGAATGTTCTTTGTTCATTTGTTACCTATATTAGGCAGCCAGGTGACGTTTAACTGAAGCTCGTGATCAGAGCCTTCTAGTGGCAATGGGTAAGCTTTTAGACCTCGCGGAAGAGCGGCGTGCTGTATTGGATGCATCATCTCAGGCATTTCAGAGTAACTGTCCTGTAATAAGTAATGTGCTATAGAAATGCATGAATTACAAATTATATGTTATGAATTCAAGACGTTTTAATCTTTTTTGGTAATAAACGTACCTGATGACATTTATCCTCGATTCAGAATCCGCACCAAAAAGCCTAAGCCCCAGAGTCTAACATCAATTGTTAAGTAATGTGAACATGTTTTATGTGAAAGAGTCATGCTGCAGCTATATTAATAGTATAGTTGTAGCACGAATGGGTCGGCTCGACCGGGGAAGGACCACGCTCTTACAGAATACCAGTGTAAAATGGCAGCTTTACGCTGCTGTATTTCTTAGCGGAGTATAAAAAACCGGATACTCTTTTTAATAGAAACGAGGCATTCCATCTTAGTCCCCCATGGGTGGCAGCGCATCTGCATTTTGATATTTAATCGAGGATAGATGTAGAATTGTCTATAGGCCACAGCAACCACTTACCACCAGGTGGGCTGTGTGCTCGTTTGTCACTCATTTTTTTTTCGAATCGTAACCTTAACTTTTCTTTATCCGTATAAGTTATTAGTCTACTGTTGGTTAAGGACCTTTCCCGTAGTAGATAGGATTTGCCACGATCGTCACGCGTGGCATGCGAAGTGACGATCGTAGCAACATAGTAACAGACCTGTTGCATGACGCTACTGCCCGTAACCAGTCTACGCATTTTATGTCTACTAACTTTTTCGGTGGCGTAGTCACTGATCTGCCACTGGGGTCAGAAAAGCTGGTGTTTCCGAATGCTCGATTGTACTGGCCACATGATCTCCACGTACGTGGCTCTGGGAGGGCCGCTGCGCATGTGGAGTTAGTAGGCTGCGGAGGAAGGCATGCCTGTGTTCAGATGCGCCTTACCTAAGAAGGCGTAAATGGAGGCGTGGTTATCTCACGAAGAGAGGCTGGCATCGGACGTGCGGGCTAGTTGAGCCGCGGATGTGTCCGAAAGAATGGCGTAGCCTTGCCAATATAAGGCGAAGTTGGAAAACAGCATGGGGTTTCAGCCGGTGCGAGTGCGACATAACCTATCCTTACCCCCGCAAGGCGGGTATGCGAGTAGAAAAAATACTTTTTTAATGGGTATAGTTTTTTTTAAATAGAATAACAGAACAAACGAGTATGTGGTCCACCTCATGATAAGTGGATACTGTAGCCGTTAGCCACCTACATCTATTTACCTTGAGGACTCAGGTGTAATGCCTTGTTTCCAGTAAAAAGCGTCTCCGGTTCTTAAAATCATTGTAATTGCAACGTGGCGGCTAGACGTATATTATATCGCCATCAATAGAAAGTCTTAAGATTTCTGGAATTTCGCACATAAACCTAGACAACATTCTCGGGAGGATTGGGGAATGGATTTCCTTAGTCCATAACCACGCGACCACACCCAGGTACCTGATTGGGCGGTGGAGTCGTGTGGGTTTTGGTAGTGGTCTGTAGATGATATTTTTCTGCATGGTATACGGATGATATATTACTACTGACTGGCCTTTTTGGTCGTAAAAGCAATTGGTAATCATAAGCAAAAAGCAATTGGTTTTTTTGTCAAAAAATTCTCAGTAGCAGCCAGGAGAAAGGAAGTCGGCGGTGCTACCCCCGTGCCTCGCAAAGCACGCAAAGCCGTAAATCCAGCGCCCGATCTCTATACTGTCGTGTCAGATTATCGTCCCATCGTGCTATGAGAGTGAGCCATGCCATGCCGACGCTCTGTTGCGACGTGAAAGAAGGACAAACTTTTGCAACATATTCTATTTTCCCACGGGAATGAGATGTTTTTCCGCGGAAAAAAGTAACCTATGTCACTCTACAGCCACCGAACTATCCCCATACAAAATCATGCCATGCCGACGCTCTGTTGAGACGTGAAAGAAGGACAAACTTTTGCAACATATTCTATTTTCCCACGGGAATGAGATGTTTTTCCGCGGAAAAAAGTAACCTACGTCACTTTACAGCCACCGAACTATCCCCATACAAAAAATCATGCCATGCCGACGCTCTGTTGAGACGTGAAAGAAGGACAAACTTTTGCAACATATTCTATTTTCCCACGGGAATGAGATGTTTTTCCGCGGAAAAAAGTAACCTACGTCACTTTACAGCCACCGAACTATCCCCATACAAAAAATCATGCCATGCCGACGCTCTGTTGCGACGTGAAAGAAGGACAAACAAACAAACAAACACACTTTCGCATTTATAATATTAGTATGGATACTTCTAATACCGAATTTTTTTATAATAACACATATCAAAATTAATATCATTCATATCGCATTTTAATGGAATAAGGGTGACAAACATTTTAATGGAAAAATGATGGCAAATGCGTGATGTGGCCCACAGACTACACATGTCCTTGATTAAGTATCGAAATTCCAAACGAGCTGCCGTGTCACCTCTTGAGATCTTATATAAAAATTCAATTTCGTGCATATCTGAGTTTTGATAACATTTGATTTTCAACTTATTGATGTTAAAGATTAATATTAAAGATCAAAAGACTTAGAATAGAAGAGAAACGTAAGATGTTTGTTATGACCTTATCGTATGGAGAGTATAAGTAATACACGTGTAACACCCCCGCTTTGAAATGAAGCTCATTTCTTTCTGTATCGAAAGTTATATACTTATATTCATAAAGTACCACTTGCCTAATAATAACGGCTGACGTAGACTTAAAAATTGCCTTTTATACACCGACATCTATCTATACCAATATAATAAAGCGAAAAGATTTTTTGTTTGTTTGTTTAAACACGTTAATGTCTGGAACTACTAGTTCGATTTGAGAAATTATCTTTGTATGCTACAGCCAGGTTTATAAGGATTACTATAGGCTATCTAGCATTAGGTCACACCTCTCAACTAGCCTTAAATATTGATTTTTGTTAAAAAAAGTCAGAAGAAAAAGCGCTCGCGAAATGGTTTATCCGCGTGCGCTGACCTATACCTAGTTAGTGAAACCTAAATACTAATGTTTTTCAAAAATATATTTACTACATCTATAAAAAACTACGCGATACCATATGCCTATTTCTTATAGGTACATAACTACATACTTTGTGACAAACATTATTATAAATTAAAAGTGATTTATAAACCTTATTATTTATTGGGCATGTCATATTAATCCTTATGAACGAAATTTACTTCATCTTCTAGATAATTCTACGAAGATAAACTTAACTCTCAATAGCATATTATTTGGACGTATAGTTTAAGAGATTAAAATAATTCAACACTCGGCTAGACGCGCGAACGACGCATAAATTCTAACCGCCCGATGGGAACCGCGAGAAACCAACAGTGAACGCTTCTATGAGCGAGGCTATTTCAGTCATTTCAGATAAAGAATTGTAAAAATCAATAGAGTAATTTTATATATCGGCATATGTACGTTAGTGAGTAAAGTTATAATTTATCCACTCACCCTCAACCTCCCGGGTGAGCGTCCATCCACGCGCCCGTATTCCGGAATTTTCCATCTTTAAACAAAACAGTACATAATGAAAATTGTGTAGGTACAAAATAATCTTTGATATATTTCCTACGAGTATGAACCTCTTATACATACAAAAGTGATATTACTTACAGTTGCCGCGAAATCTGCCATGAAATTTGAATTTTTTAATAATTTATCTATTTTTTGCTATATTTCGCTGAATGGCCGAATGAATTAATAATAGTATAATAATTATAAATGATCAAAATAGCATAGCAACATGGATTAAAAGAGTTTAGAAACAAATTATACTTCTTTTTAAAGAACATATTCTATTCTTTACATTAGTTATATATATCTTTGCGGTAAAGTGCCTAATTTTTGAGGAAACTAAACTTTGAGATGATAAAAAACTTTCATATTTCGTGGCAGATTGCACGGAAACTATAAGCGATATCGGTTTTCTATTTATAGAAGATTGATAGCAAATTTATCAAGGTTCATTTCGTACTGACACACTTTACATGGTATACGATTTTTTTTAAACTGAAAAAACTCGCGCTTCGAGACACTTTCTGTGCGTGGCGGGGGGGGGGGCATGGACACACCCTAGAAGGGGAGGGAGAGTAAATAAAATTTAACTGCGCTTTACAAAGTACATATGCCGATAAATAAAAGTACTCCATCAATTTTGCCAAGTTTTCCGTACATTGCTATCTAAAGCGCTTCAAATAGGTGTCATGTCATGTTGCGTGGCTCAGATCCTGATATACGCACGTGAAACCGCGGGATACGGCTAATGAAAGTATGTACGGTACTTATAACAAAAATACAATTTTTAAAATTTTTGTCTATCTATTTGTTCCGGCTAATCTGCGAAATGACTGGACCAATTTTGACGGGACTTTCACTGGCAGGTAGCTGGTGTTATAAAGAGTAACTTAGACTACTTTTATTTTAGAAAAAGAATAAGAGTTCCGTAATCAAAAAGTAGCAAGTTACACGCAGGCGAGATCGTGGGGAACAGCTAGTCTCTATTTAAAATTGAAATAACAAACAAACTTACAGTCCACCAGAGATTTAGCTACATTTATATTAATCCCCTGGTAGATTGGACATAGATTCCGAAAGGTAATAAAGTTCGCAAATCGGGAACAATTACAAATTTTTGTGTGAACTTTTCTAATAAACCTTTAGCGTTACTTAGTGGTTTGAAAAAAAAAGTCATATGGGGTCGGCCAACTAACAAATTGGTAGAAGTGGGATGCTAAACGGAAGGTCATAATCTCTCTCAATCACCAAGGTTTTTGTGACAGACATTGTGTTCCAGACATTAAGCCTTAGTCGTGCTCAAGCCTGCGCCTACCACAATTTCGGACGACGATCAGCCTCCGCTCTAAACCGTAAGCCCATGGACACCTGCAGGCCCATTTAAACAAAGAAAACTACAGGTGCAATGTCATTTTTGAGGACTTAAGATGGGCCTCATAGACAGTAATTAAACTGGCTCTCTATTTTTTATATATTATACTGGTGACCAACGAGCACAAAACTCACCTGATGGTAAGTGGATGCTGTAGTCCATCTACATTTTTATCCTCAATTTGGAATCAAAATGCAGATGCGTTCTCACCCCTGATGACTAAGATCGAATGCCTTTGTTTCCAGTAAAAGGGGTCTCCGGTTCTCTACACTCACCATAAGAAATATAGCAGCATTCTACGGTGGTGTTCTGTGAGAACCTACCCCGGTTAAACCGACCCATTCATGCTACAACCAATCATAATTTAGCTTTATATAATGCATAAAATTTTCTGATCTTCTTAGTATGATTGTGTGTATTATGTGATCAGTAAAGGAGCAGTGACACCGTCCAGTGTTTTTTTAATATGTAATTTATTTCATTGTTAAAATTTTTACCCCTGATAAATCTTTAAATTAAAAAAAATCCAATTTTTAACACGACTTTTAATGAGTTTTATATATTTTTCACGACGTATTTCACTGTAATAAATTTAAACAGATTTATTAAATGAAAAAAATCATATGCAGCACAATGGCAATACGCAGCGAAGTCAAGAAAAGAGTTTTAATTATAAGGAATATAGACTTATTTTAGTAGTTAAACGTTGTCAATATTACAATTTAAATCTGATAAAAATACAAAATAATAGAATATTCAATTTAAATCTAATATTAGATTCCAAATAATATACATGGTTATTTTGCAATAACCGACCAAATTTGCAGATAAGGTTCAGAATAAGTAATATGGGCAAATGGTGAAAAAAATTAATTAAAAAAATCTCAAACATTCTGTCCTTTTTATCTTTTAAGTTCAAATGCGTGGTAATGCATTATTTTTTTAACTTATTTTACTGCGCACGCACACTTCCATAAGAAACGATCGGTAGGCAAAAACATTGTTGCCCACAAATCACATTCAATTTTTTTTAAATAATTTCAAATAAAGGTAGCCTTATTGACTCGTATTTTATATAAATGATATAACGTTACCGCAAAAACTGCAATAACATTATATTATTATTTATATGTTTGAAATTAATTTTAAAATTTGGCTACTCCTTGAAAAATAACCTTGTATAGTGAAATAGAAAAGGATGATGCGTCAACCGAAAAAGAAACCAGTGAAATGAAAATGTCCTTTTTGTTCACTAAAAGTTAGTAAGAAATACAATATAACAAGTGATTCATAACTACAATAATAATGATAATAATTTCGGGAGGTACTACAGGGCTCTACATGAGCCCCACGTAGATACAGCCGCCTCCCTCAACTGGCTACGTTTCGGTGACCTCTTCGGGGAAAGCGAGGCTTTTGTCTGTGCAATACAGGATCAGGTTATTAAGACCAACAACCATCGGAGATACATCCTAAAGGATGGCACTGTCGACGTCTGTCGAGCTTGTCGCCATCCCGGGGAGTCACTTAGGCATGTCATCTCCGGTTGTTCGGCGCTTTCTAACTCTGAGTACTTGCACAGGCACAACCTAGTAGCCAGAATTCTACACCAGGAGTTCGCTCTGAAATACGGTCTCGTGGACCGGAAATTGCCGTATTACAAGTACTTGCCGGAAGCCGTGCTCGAAAATGACCGCGCCAGGCTCTACTGGTACCGGGCCTTCATCACGGACAGGACTATTCTTGCGAATAAGCCTGATATTGTTCTGATGGACCGGGCACAGTCAAGGATATTTTTGGTCGACATTACCATTCCGTATGACGAGAACCTCGTGAAAGCCGAAACAGATAAACGAACAAAATATCTGGACCTGGCTCACGAGGTGACCGACATCTGGGGTGGAATGCCGGCCGAAATTATTCCTGTAGTCGTCTCTGCGAATGGGCTAATCCCAGTCAGCCTCTCGGGTCATCTGAGGCGACTGGGACTCCATGACGGACCGCTCCGGGCTCAAATGCAGAAGGCGGTGCTCCTCGATACCGCCCGCATCGTCCGCCGGTTTCTTTCCCTTTCTTCCTAACCCTCGGCCGTTTGGTCTCCCCTGCCGAGGACTTCCATCTGGCTGGGCTTTTATTTATTTATGTATTTTTGTATTTATTTTGTTTTAATTATATTTATGTGTATTTATCTTTTCATTTTAATTTATAATTATGTATTTATAGAACCCAACCAGATGAGAAATCTATATAGATACCCCACATAATAATTTATTTTTCTCTCCACATTAAATTAACAATATCGAATTTTGACAAAAAGGCACAAATTAATGTGAGTGACGCCTAAACTAGGCGACGAACCTGTATTTCAGGTCATCAGGTCACCCTCCCAGTTAACAAATACAAAAGTATGTTATCTTAGAATACATATTTTAACAATAATGACTATAAAGCACCCATACCAAAGAGTTAAAGAGATACTTACCTGAAATGAAGGTGGATGATGCATTGATGGATGATGCATCGATGGATGAAAGCCATCGAAATGAAAACTTTCTTTTTGATCATAATGACCATAATTCACACACATAACACTAGTGCGCTGCATATTAAAAAATACAAAAATCACAATAGACACGTGGTTATAGTCAATTATCACTTGCACCATGTTTACTACTACGTATAAATCAGTCAATGACGTTTTGCTACAATCGAAACCACGTTCATGTTATGCATCACGCATTTCTATGAAAAACACCGATAGTCTATGTCAAATATCCGTTCCGTGGCCGATGTGCCCGAAGACATTGATCGAGCATGTACCTATACTGTTCCAATAAGATATTGTTTAGTGATTACGATAAGGCGATGTTTCAGTGACGACTATTCAAACCGTAACTGATAAACGAGCGGTGCGCTAAAGCCAATTTTTCAAATATTAGCTGATAACGTACTATTCTACCGACTCAAAAAACAACGAGGTAAACAATACGACTATGTTTTTTTGTATGTATGTAATGTGATATCATCGTCAATTGTGATGTGTAATTTTGATTTTTTTTATAGCTTAGGGTGACAAACGAGCACACAGTCCACCTGATGGTAAGTGGTTGCTGTGGCCCATAGACATCTACATCTATCCTCGATTACGAATCAAAATGCAGATGCGTTGTCACCCGTGAGGACTAAGATGGAATGCCCCGTTTCCAGTAAAAAGGGTCTCCGGTTCTCTACACTCACCAAACGAAACACAGCAGCATTAAGCTACTGTTTCACGCTGGTATTCTGTGAGAGCGTGGTCCTTCCCCGGTCATGCCGACCCATTCGTGCTACAACTATACTTCTAATATAACTGCAGCATGGCTCCACCACGTATGAAATTATTCTTTATGAAATAGATAATACTTTAGGGAATAATAGGCGATAAAAGTTTTCATCATAGTAGAGCCATGCTGCAGTTATAATACGGTTGTAGTACGAATGGGACCGGGGAAGGACCACGCTCTCCAAGAACAGTACGAGTTTCGTATAGTTAGTGTAGAGAATCGGAGACCCTTTTTGCTGGATACAAGGTATTCTATTTTAGTCCTCAGGAGTAACAACGCTTCTGCACTTTGATTTTAGATGGAGGATAAATTAATGTAGATGTCTATGGGCCACAGTATCCACTTACCATCAGGACTGTGTGCACTTTAGACAATTACTCCAAGTTTGAGTAATCCACTCAAAAGGGTAAAAATTAATCAAAATTAAAAGTAAACATCGAAGATTATATTTCAAAAAGATTAATTCTTTTGTACACTACGTCGTAGTATAGACAGCATTTGAGACAATTTTTTCCTTTTTAGTTTATTGAAGTCGACTTTTACTTTTTGTCAAAAGAAATTTTTTGTCTATTTGCTATTAGGGTTACGTACAGTTGCTAAAAAACCATTAAAGTATATGTCTTGTAGTGTGATAATTAAATAATCTTATAAATAAATTCAAGCGACAGTAGCCTAAGCCTAAGGCCAGCGTGCGGACCGCGAACTCAAAAGGTCGTGGGTTCGAATCCGCCATTAAACTACCGTCGAGAACTACTCCTAACACAAACATTTTAGGCTTATCAGGTGTGATTAAAGAAAATATTAGTTATGTAAATAGCATTGTTGCTATTAACATAACTAATATGTTAATAGTAATAATTAATAACAATAATTAACAATAAGTACCGTTTTATTATAGCTAATTAAAGTCCACCGCAGCTCATAGGTCTGAAGGCCTCCCCCTTAGATTTTACACAGGGGGGGGGATATTTTCCATAGATGTCACGCTTGGCTAACGAGATCGCAACCGCAGCTGTTCATTTTTAGTCGTTATTAGCAAGAGATCGTTGCCCATCTCCTGATTAGTTTCCCTCTGTCACCTGTTACGACACCCACGGGATGATACGAAATATTCTTACACTGCCAATGCATATAAAACAATGAGTAATAATTAAATAATAGTATTCGTATGTGTGTGTATGCGTGTATGCGTGCAAAATTTTCAAAAAACGTTTTTTGGAATAACTTTTAAACAGATGTAACGATCAATTCCCAAATCTTATCAGCTTTTAAACTTGGAAAACGACGTCGATTGCTGTGAACTGCTTCTTAATTGGTTAATGAGTTGAGAATCAATGACGAAAATTTTCGAAAAAATTGTTTTTTTTTTCACATAACTTGAATTATTTGAAGTCTAAACATTTTTTTATGACTAATAATATCTTAATTTATTATCTAATAGTTCTCAGTAGCATATGTGTACTAACGTATACATATGCTACTAAGAACATTTGCAATCAACAACAGTTTTAGGTGCATATGTGTGCGTCCGGCTTTCCTTATACGTGGTAGAGCCATGCTGCAGTTATATTAGTAGTATAGTTGTAGCACGAATGGGTCGGCTCGACCGGGGAAGGACCACACTCTCACAGAATACCAGCGTAAAATGGTAGAACTTTCGCGTCACTCCTGGCCCTAACTTTATGCATATATATAAAATATTTAAAGTATATTAATAACTTCGCACTCATTTAGCACTTCGGGACTGCACCATTAGTTGCTAGACATATGCGTTACATCAGATATGTTGATTTTCACACGATGTTTTCCATCGCCGCTACAGACGATAAATCTTTGTTTACAATTCGCAATGAATTTGCCCGTACTAAAATAGCTACAACAACACCACGTTCATTTGAGATAATACAAAAAATAATGCGTTACGAACAATAATCATATTGATTTGTATTTTCTCCTAAATGATTTAGAAAATGCGATGGTTTCCGATTATTCTTCAAATATAATTGGAGTAACGAGCGAGTTACCAGTCCACCTAATATCTGTGGAATCTGACAATATACTCCCGTCGGTGGTGGTGTACCCTCCGGCGGAAATGATAAAAAAACAGTAAGTAGCTTTTTTAACGTGGAGAAATAAAATGCTCATGGATATATTCCGCTAAAATTTCTACATCTCAATCTTCCCTAACTAAAAGCAGAGGATAATAAGAACGGAACATTTGATCATTTGACCCTTTTTACTGGAAACGAGGCATTTCATCTCAGTCCTCAAGGGTGATAACGCATCTGCATTTTGATTCTTAATAGAGGATAGATGTAAATGTCTATGGGCCACAGCATCCACTTACAAAAAAATGCTATGACAAACATCAAATCGTACAAATAACCTTTCTTAGTTCACTATTACCTAACATTTATATGAAAACACATTCAAGATTTGCTCTGGCTGTCGAAAGTCGATACTCTCACATTGGAAACGCTTGTATTGTGAAATAGAGTTCGGCGCTTGTAGATTTTTCATAATCACACGATCGCAAACGTCTCTCTCGTAATCAAATGCACTGAGTTATTCTTAACCTATAAAATTACAAACCAGCTCGCTCGCTAGAGTTGCACCATGTTGTAGTGTCTTTTGGCCGCAGCAATATGGGTAGATCTGACAAGTAAAATGCCGTGCTAAAAAATTTCAGCGTGCGATTGCAGCATAACGTGTTTCGTGTGGTTAGACACATTCGGAGATCCTTTTTACTCGTGATGATAGCAGCCGTTCGAAGCGTATACTACTACTATGTTATTGTGAATGAAGCTCACCTTCATTCATCATAATTTTCTTCCCAAAATCAAGTATTATTGAATTATACAACAATCAATTTAATGACATAGATGTTTTTGGATTAACTTCTTCTAAATTTACAGAAGCAATTTGTATAGAGAAAAAAATAACTTAAATTATCTTTTCTTTATTTATTAGCTGGGACAAATAATGTTCAATAAAAATTTTAACTTGAGGATCAAAAATAACAAAATATCCGTTTTATATTTTTCTCAAATTTTGCCTTAAGGTTTTAAAACAAATATTTATTGACATACCCAGCCCAAAACCACTGGACGAGAAGTGGGAAATTAGAACAATAGCCAAGAAAGTACTTTGAAAAATTCATAACACGTTTCTACCTATGTTTTTCATAGAATAAGGGTGACAAACGAGCACATAGTCCACCTGATGGTAAGTGGATGTTGTGGCCCATAGAAATTTACATTTATCGTCGCTTAAGAATCGAAATGCAGATGCGTTGTCATACCTGAGGGCTAAGATGGAATGCCTCATTTCCAGTAAAAAAGGGTCTCCGGATCTCTACACTCACCATACGCAACACAGCAGTATTAAGCTGCTATTTTAAGCTGATATTCTGTCATCGTGGCATTCGTGCTACGACCATAATATAGCTGCAGCGTGGCTCTACCACGGTAAATATCCATTATAGACTTTAAAACCATCAAACCGATGGGCACCAAACGGGTTTCATTAGAAATGCAATAAGGCGGAGATGGTTTTAGACCACTATAACAAAAAAATATTTAAAAAATACTATAAAAAAGCTAAGAAATAACAAAATTTCCTATTTTTCCAACAAATAAACAAAACGTATTTTTAACGTAGTAGCACACTACGTAAAATAAATATGTTTTCTTGCTATGCGCACTTTTTATAATGATATACTATTAATAGCAAAACGACAGATTCTAAATCTATCGAAAAGTGTTTTTAAAATATAAATGACACAAATGTAAATTGAACCGGGGCGTTTTACTATTGGTATTATATCATAGGTATATCAATATTTTTATACTGCTTTGAATTCTAATTTGGTTTAATAGCTATATACGTCACGGATATTATATTCTTTCAGAGACACTCCACATTAATTTCGTTTCTCTCCCTGTACTTATTAATGAACGTGTCGTTTTAAATTTTAATCTCTATGTGCTGGTACTGGATGACCTTTTTTACCATCTAGAAAGAAATAGAGTGTTACATGTGAACGGAGTAGAAGCCTATGACACTGATATTTTACAAAAGAAAAAACAAAAATTTTGAATCAAACAAATAAATAAATTAAAATCCATCGAAATTCAAATCATATCCACCCTACTTCACGAACGGCATTACACAATAAATTTAATGATTTCTTATATTTACGCGAACACTACACATTGAAATAACACTAGTTTTTACGGATTTCATCGCGTATATTTATACACTACACTACACAATAATACAATAAAATTAGTAGGCGTCTTCGACCTTGTCACTTCGCAGGGTCACAGGCTAGAAATATTTTGTATGTTTCAATGGGTCCCTAGATGGTTTAGATTCGCGTTTGAACCCGGTAGGTGGCGTTATTGTCGAGATCCAGCCCGCGCGAAGCCAAGGCGGATCGCTAGCAGAATAAAATTGAAATTTCATTTTATGATTATTGTATTTCATTTTGTGCTCATTGTATGATTATTATTTAAATTGTTGCTATTTATATTGTTACGTTTAGTGATAAGATTATATTCTACAATTGTTTGTTATCCCGATTAAAGATAATAAAATAGGTGTGTGCCATAGTATCCATATAACTTGAAATGTACTGTGTGCTTGTTGCTCACTCCTACTTCTATAAAAGAATTATCAATATAGATATAGTAGCAACAATATAAAACATTAAGATGTTTTAGTATCTATCTATTATACTTCGATCCCTAACATATTTTTACATGGGGACATGCCGACGCATACCCGCATCGCCGGGCAGGGAAAGGTTTTGCCAAACTTGCACTCGGAAACCTCCGACTGCACATGCGCTACAGACTCCACAAGAGTCGAAGCCATGGGTCCAGGAAAAGTGCGGGATCCGTGGGCAGAAGCTTGTTATATGATAGTTTTAGCAGCGAAAAAGAATTCTTGTTTTTAATACCTAATAATACTAGTAATGCCCAACCATACTTTAAACGAGCAATTCTTGTTTATAAAAAAAAATATATATATATATACAAGAATTCGAAAACGGCTCCAACAATTTTAATAAAATTTAGTGTCCGGGGGTTTCAGGGGCAATAAATCGATCTAGCTAGGATTTATTTTTAGAAAGTGTCCTTTTGTCCGTGTTTTCAGGCAATAAAAAAATTGCTACAATATAAGAAGGTAAATTTTGACAAATTATGAACGATCGTAATAGCTTAGGTGGGATGTCGGTCGGGCGTGATATCGGAGTTCCGTGGTTCGCGTCCTGTCTCTGGTCCAGCTTTTTTCCTTTTTTTTTCAAGTTCCCTTCTTTTGTGAGAAAATCTATTATTTCAAGCCCTTTTTGTTTTTTTTTAAAGAAAAATTTAATAAAACTAATTGCACTCATGATTTTTATTCAAATAATCAGTTCAGTTTTTTCTATTCTGTCAGTAAGATCAAAAAATATTATTTAAGTTTCATCAGTATGTAATTTATAAATGTAATTTCAAAAAAAAACCGAGCAAAGCTCAGTCATCCGGTTACTAAATAATAGTACTACGTAGTAACGCTATTTGGACCACGGTAATTACCACCATTAACATTACAAATATTCCCGTTAACCCCTCCAAGTAAGCTTAAAATGCTTGTGCTGGGAGTAATTCACGACTAGTCGAATAACGGATTTGGCTCACAACTTTCTGGGTTTCCAGTGAGTGGAAGAAGTAATTCTTAGTTGTGTAACATGTAACAAACTCATAGATAAGCTCGAAGTCCTTTTTGTTAGGTCTTAACCTAAACTAGTGACGGGTAACAGCGTTATAAAGCAAGATATTTGTGACTGTTTAGATATCTCATCCGATTGATTGTTAATCGATTATAAATCGATAACTATGTATCATTTAACATTTATATATATAGAAACTTACAGTTTGTGTTTGCAATGTTTTCAAACTTGTGATTTTACTCGAAGTAACTTTAGTTAAATCAAGTTCAGCACTCAAAAGTGCATCAGCAGCGATGCCATTAGCCTTTGTGGAGAGTTTAGTAATGGGCTCTGGTTTTTTTGGGCTCATGTCAATTGTTTCGAGATAAAACTGTGTTTTGTAAGGCTGAATTATTCTTTTAGTAGATTGTAAACGGTCATAAACTGGTATTAACATAGTTCTCGGTGTTGATGTCGTTTCACTGGATCCGGTTTGTTCACCCATATCTTTTGTTGAATTTTCTTTTGCGCTTGATTTAGTCCGTCCATTCCAATTCAGTGCAGGGCTTAGTAAAGATGGTTTTAGTATTTGTCCAAATTTTTGCGGTTTTGGTATTGATGTGGTGGTAATTATGGAGTTTGCCAGCATCATCTGCATCACAACGAAGCACAGAGCCGGCTGCCATTGCTTCATTGTAAACACATGCTATACTTGAATCCGATCACTATTTCACATTGTTTCCGTTACTTGTTACGTAAACTCACATTAAATAGGGCGGGAAGAATACAAAATTATATACATGACAGCGAATAACTCGAACTCGACAATCAGTCGAAATTGCAAAACTTGACTCTAACCATGTAGTGCGAAACTAGAGATCTGAGTTTAAGAAAAATAAGTTCGGCGTTCCTCAAGGAAGTATACTGCGACCTCTTCTGTTCCTGATTTATATTAATAATCTCCCAAATGTGACCAAGTATCGATGTATCCTATTCTACTAAGTAAAAAAAAGGATTTTGACATATCATTACAAATATCTTTATGACTAAAGGGCCCTCACGTATTATTAAAAATGTTTTATTAACTAACGTTGAAAGAAATCTTTTTGGCTAGTAAATATTTAAGGGGCCTTAAAATGTTGTATTCCTATAATAATATAAAAGTAGTGTATGCTTTGATAAATAAATAAAGTACAATTTTCTTTCAATGGAATGTAGTGGCGGTGTAAGAATATCGAATACCCCATATCGCGCCGTGGGTGTCGTGGGAGGCGACAGAGATTACAAACCAGGAGATGGCCAGCAGAGTCATACAGTAAAGGAGGTAGGGTCTTCCTAATAAGAACTTAAAACAATAAAAAAAACTGCAGTTGCTAATCCGTTTGCCAAACGTGGCATCTATGTCAATATTCCCCTATGACGCAAGCCATGGGGAAGACCTATGTCTATCAATGACTTTTATAGATAGTAAATAATATTGGTAGTAAATTCTGGTAATTAAAACAAAACTTGAGTCAAAGTTATTTTTGAAAATATTATCAAGTAGGTAAATTCTTTACATAGTATTTTGTAATTTGTCTTGTAAAGCAATCAAAAACTGTTCAAACCCTATTAACAAAAAATTTGATGATAAGTATATGAGCTTAGATATTTTAAAGTTTTTACTCAGGTGTTATTCTTTTAGTGTTTATATTGACATCAACATCCTCTTCATGCACACTGGACATAGGCCCGTCAAGAATACATCAGCTAGTATGCTAGTTTTGTAGAATTTGCCTATACTCACCACGCTCGACAGACAGGTTTTTTTTTAATGTTACACCACCATTCGAACGCCAGAACTACTAGCCAGGTGACGGTAGCACTTTCAGTAAAATATGCTATATTTCTCCTTACTTTCGCTTTTTATTATATTTAACTAAAAATATATAAAAAAGCATAGAAACATTCGGAGGCATAATACTACTAAAACACTGAGTAACAAAGTTTCAAACAGAGATGAAATCTTTAATAAAGACCGGAACTAATTTATAAAATTGGAGGTTGAAATCACGGTACGACATAACGCTCTAAAATCAAATATCAGTTTCAAGGGCAAACATTTTGGAGGTAAAGCTGCGCGGACACCCAGTCGGGAGCTGCCGGGAAACTGACGAACTCCGGTGGCAACGTTTTTGTTTACTTACCATGTGTCTAACTCGCTAATATAAACTCGACGTAAAGTCGAAACGGTTTAGTAAAATAATCGAGCGACACTATATATCGTATGAAATTCTATCATAAGTGCTAGAAAAACAAGCTTTTATAACATGTAAACAAGCTGATATTGATCCCCGCCGGCACCAATGAGTTATTTATTGCACTATAAGTGCTAATTTACTACCTTGAGAGGTGTCCGTGCGCTGCATTTATTAGTTGTCACTTCACCATCAGCAGCAGATTCGCTGAATGTGTAGGTGTATGTTAGAGAAATTTAAAATATTTCGAGGGTGTTTCTGTGACGTCCGATTACACGCATCGGCTTAGCGCGGTAGACTCTTCCATACTATAAAACCTGTTATTTTTTGATGACATCTGTATCAATTAATTATCCATCCTAATGCATCATTGACCTTACGATTGCTATCGCTTTCAAATTAGAAATCAATGACCAGAGTCTTAAGGCTTCGTATTCCCCAGAAGAAAAATAATTCTATGTTATGACTATTGATTGTTTAAGTTTATTCACATTATAGAATTGTGTTCTTAATTTTTAGGTACTTATTCTTTTCGCATTGAAAGGTTAAGCATACCTTTAATGTAATTTTAGAAGATACAATATACTAATGTCAAAGGTTAGATACGCATCAAAATCACGTGAAAAATAGTAGTAGGGGCGAAATGTTTTTGTTTATAGCCGTAACAGGTCTCTGAATTCACTGCTTTACATAAACGCGGGTTTCTTACCAATGAGCTTTAACTAATTTACACCTTTTACAGAAAAAAAATACTATTCCTTTATATCTATTAAAAATATAATGTGAAGGTGGTAATTTGTATATCGAATCGGCATAGATAAAAAAGGGGAATTTTGAGTCGATATATTAATTTTATGCGATGATAAGTGGATCCCGTTTGACAATCGCAAGCGTTCATCACAGCGGTTAGATCAAGGTGCCCAAGCTAAACAGTGTCATAGTAATCATAATATATACATATAAATCATCACAGCAGCGTTGTCATAACATTGTGAACTACATCGAAAAATATAAGATAAAACAAATTATATAATTAATGTAAGTCGCAATTTTTATCATATTTCCGTAAATGAATGTACACAGCCGAGAGACAAAATCGTAAGAAAAATAATGTTTACGAATTCCGATTATCCACCCCAGACGGGGTGGATAAATGAACGCGCGTTTCGGCATATCCACCCTAAGGTAGATTCTTTAGGGTGAATAAACAGAATAACTCAGTGAAACATCGCCAACTTCCGGACTCCGGGCTACTACTGATAATTTTTTGACAGAAAAACACTATTTGAAGCCCGACCCAAAATTTGAACCCGAGACTTCATGATTAGCAATCACGTTTTCAATTCAATGAATAATATTGTGACAGATTGATTCTTAACAGAACAATGTTATTTTAATTCAAGGCCTCATAGACTATCCTTTTCGAGGTGATGACGAAGAGTTTTAAAAATTTATTCTTCATAGTTTATTAAGGTTATTGCTAAAAGTAATTACTTTAAAAATCGTATAAAAAAAAACAAAGAAAAACATTTCTGGAAAATGCTTTACGATTTTAATTTTCATGATTACGTGAATCCACCAAATAATATCTGGATTCTGGACCATACTTATTATAATTAACGTTACTAACGTTTTTACGTTTCTCCCTGTTTTCTTTGCCCTGGGGCAAATCGGTCGGTAGGTAAATACATAAATAACTAATATGATGGATGAGTTTCTCGATTTTTCTTACTTAGCTACAAGAATTATGTACGATAATATCTTTACAGAGATGTTTATCACTGAATCATCAGTCTAATATTTATTACTTATACATATAATTTGCATTTAATTACATCGGTTTATTACAAATCATATTTTGGCTAACGATGGTTTTTTTTTGTCTTTATTGTTTATTGTTCTTATCATCATCATAATTACAGCCCTTCACAAGTCCACTACTGAACATAGGCTTCCCCCAAGGATTGCCACAAAGCACGGTCCTGAGCCACCTGCATCCATCGACTTCATGTATGTCTTACCAGGTCGACACTCCATCTAGTGGGGGTTCGCCCTACACTACGCCTACCGGTACGAAGCTGCCACTCGGGAACCTTTTTTCCCCATCGGTTGTTAGTTCTTCGAGCTATATGGCCGGCCCATTGCCACTTCAGCTTACTAATCCGCTGGGCTATGTCGGTCACTCTGATTCTACTGCAGATATCCTCATTTCTAAGTTTATCACGCAGCATAGCGCTCTCCATACGTCGCTGAGCGACCTTGAGCTTCCTCATACGGCCAGCAGCGAAAGACCACGTCTCAGATCCATAAGTCATCACTGGCAACACGCACTGGTTGTACAATCTAGGTTTCATATTTTGAGATATAGGTACCTGACGAGAAGATGTGTCGTAATTTCCCGAACGCTGCCCAGCCGAGTTGAATCCTTCGATTGATCTCTCGGTCGAAGTCGGACTTACCTAGTCGGACTATTTGTCCCTGGTAAACATACTCGTCAACAACTTCAAGCTTAGTGCTCCCAACAGCTAACAGCATAGGTGTGACAAGGACATTAAGCATGATATTTGTTTTGTCCATGTTCATCTTAAGAACTATCCGTTGGGAGACACTATTGAGGTCCTTAGGTGCTCCAGCGATTCTGCCATAAGGACTATATCGTCGGAACTTCGGAAATGAGATGATGATTAAATCGTCATTGATTACAATGATTTAATCGTCATTGTTGTTAATAACGTATCCTTTCTAGTCCAGGAGCTTGAAAACGTCTTGACGCGTTGACTTCATTAGACGAGACCTCTCCAACATAACATTTAGATACAGTATGCCTCTAACCATTCGGTGATCGCTGCAAGTTTTCACCCTTGCGATCACTGAGACATCAGTGAACACTTTTGTCGTCATATAATTATTCTCATTTTTTCTCGAACTGTCGGGGCTCGACCAGGTTCATTTCCTGTGGGGACGCTTCTGGAAGAAAGAGTTTATCATAAAGAGTCCCTTTTTCTTCATGAAGTCGGTCATCTGCTGACCTCTTGGGTTCCGTAGCCCTATCCCAAATTTCCCTACCTTCAGCTTACCGTTCTTTCTTGTGCCTAGTTTTGCGTTGAAGTTTCCTATTAACACCGTATTGTGGGTTTTTAAGAAATGCATGGCTCTAGAAATATCCTCATACTTTTCCTCCACCTCCTCATTGGGATGTGCCGAGGTTGGTGCGAAAACCTGTTTGACCTTCGGCGAATACAGTGTGGTGGTGATTAGTGATTCTGAGTATAACGTACGCAACCCTCGTCGACACACTCTCAATCTTCACAACGTTGTTAACGAGAGAATTCTCGACGATAAATGAAACCCCTATTTGGGAGAGATGGCCGTCCTCCCGGTGATAGAACAGGTTGCCGAATTCGAGAATCGCCGAGTTGAATATTATAGGATTATCCGAAGTCCGAAGAGAGGGAGA